GACGATGACATGGTTGTTGAATCGTCCTACAATTCACCGGAAAAATATCAGAAGGACATCGAACAAATACGACTGCTACGAATTAGTGATTAAGTAATGAAACAGATAAAAACAAATGTATGTCTACAATGATGGTAGCACAGAGAGAGAGAAAAAATGCGTGTGTGTTGACGATACTCCCATGGGAACGGATCAGTAGGCTAGGCAATAGCAAACCAAACGCGGAGGAAAAAATGGCCTATTGCTTATGCTTATAGTGTCACACATGCTACTGAATAGACAGACCTGCTCGGCATGTCTGTGGGTGAAAGAGAATTGAAGATGATCAAACTAAGACCTGGCGTGTGGATAGGAGAACTGTGATCCGGGTATTCGGTCAAGCGGATCGAATTGGACTGTAAGCAATGACAATCGTGTATCTACTCACCGGTTACACAGATCTAATCTTCTTGCCTTTTGCATCTCGTATTTTGACAGTGTCCTCGGGTTGACCTATTGCATCCTCATTGACCGAACCAATGAGCTCGCTAAAAGTTGACACTAAAATCCTCTCACAATAGTTAACGGTTCCAAAACCTGTGACTGGATATAGTTGAAACAATCGATAAGTTAATCCGGTCTGATCTTATAACGATCAAATCGTGGCGTTGGGACGGGATAGACTTCAAAGTTGGTTTGCAGTGGCCCTTTTCGCCCCGTTCACACAAGCACATTCCGTGGTTAGTTTGATCGCCATTGTCAAAACATTGTTTTGTGCAATAAACGGACCAACGACACAAGTGTACCGAACCCCGGCTGGTGATGAAATGTATGGAAACAAAAGTGTCCATCTCCCGGGACAGACGAGCATGAATTCAATTTATCCAAACTACAAGGATTGATTTGCCAAATGTATGATACATGATTCATCCCGTTACCGACCCCCTCCACACCGAACTAAGAGTGTTCCTTACAAGCGGGACAACATTAGCACTTTATCAGCAAATCATTGATTCACACAGACTAATTAGGAAAAGCCTGCGCCAAATAAAATACATCTCACAACTTTGCGGTAGAAACAGGTGCAAAATACACATCCGAATTAGGTATGTGAATAACTTTAGAATGAACTGTTAAATACGAATGGCCAAGGAACGGTAAACATCGCAAAACCGGTGGTTCGATTTCAAGGCAATCTGTCTGTCACTTGGACGCTACTTGCTGATTTGCGTATATGCAAACACTTTTATTAGACAAATGCAAGCAGAGGATCCTACACAAAAGAAAGAAGACCATAAACAAGCCGATGGCGATATTTTTTGGAGTGCACAGATCACCTGAAAATAGAAATTAACTTTTAGCTAATTAAACCGGGCACGACACGTTACCACCGAGCGTGATGAACTGGACAACAGGTTCGGACGCGGAATACATTTCATCAAAGCCGGGTAAAACTGAATGCGAGGTAACACCTGAAATTAATGCTCAAAAATCGCTGCTCAATGATGTTGATGATGTGCACACGAAGTGAAACACGGAATCCCATTTAATCAACCAAACTAACAGGGCTAGGATCATTTTGAACCGGATTGGACAATTTTTTGATCGAAACACAAAATGCAAATCAGTCGGCGCGATCATTAGACGCTCGCGATTCGATGGACAATAAAAAAGGCAAAACAAGCGTTTGAACCACAGTCGGTCAACGGGGGATTAGTTCGTCGATCAGGGCACGGCTTGGCAATTCGTATTCTAACGAGTGAGACATAAACACAGTGAGTGAAAATCATACAGTTACATTAGGAAAAGGAAACGTATGACGAAACGGTGTATCAGATTAAACCTATTTCCGTTTCGTGAGTAGGGTAAAAACTACTTCAAACGGATTACAGCGCACACGGAAACGAAAATCCCATGCACACTACAACCAACAGTTTAAGT